ATTGCATTACTTTGCAGAAGAGAAATTTCTGTCTTCTAGTGAAATTTCAGGTCAGGAGGGCAAGTAATTTTCACAATCTTCAATGGGAACCAGTGAAATATGAACTTCATTGTCACCTAGCCCCAAAGCGATAAGATAAAATGAGCTGATACATCATTTGCTGTGGTTTTATCATCTCCTGCAGTAATTGGAAGAGAAAACATAAGAGCTTTTTTTTTTTTTTTTGCCCAAATCATCTTGCCTCCTTACTCAGACTTAAACCATTTTAGTCTGATCAATGCAAAGGTCACACAACATTTTATTTATTTATTTTTAATTCTTTGTGCTTGCTAAAATGTCTATTGAAACATTAAAACAATGAATACATTTAATTGAGCTTGTGACACATGAAAGACGTGAATGAGAATGTATATCAATCTGCAGTGGGAATAAAGGGTAAAAAATGTTATGATGATTAAAGGGTAAAAACATGTTATGGTGAAGTTTTTAATAACTGCATGAATAAGCATTTTACATTTAAGCTTGATATCCAATAAATGACTACTAATAATTGTGATAGCTGTTCTTTTGTTTCTTCTGATATCATTGCCTGTTCTCTATGTTAGACATGTTTAGATGCCTGATGTTATCTAAAGCGAAATATTTCTTTTTCCCCATACAAAGAAATTGTACAATTCACACATAATCTAGTTTACTTACCCCAATAAGTGCAAGACATATATTTACTGGAATCTGACATTTTCTGATATTCACGTGAGATAAATATTCTGGTAATTATTTAATTAGCTTTTATAAAGAAATTACATTAGCCTAAATTATTTTATTTTTCTTCAATGTTGACATAACGAAAAATGTATGCAAAAAACAAAAAAAATGGTGCCCTGGTGAGATTGAATGGTCAGTATATTCCTAGTTGAAAGAAAGCGGTCACAACCTCCAGATGGTACAATGTTAAACACAACGTATTTCTGGAAATTTGAATACATGCTGGTTATTTATGTGCAGTTATTAAAGTCAAATTAAAGAGAAGACAACAGTAAATACGACAGGTGCAAAAATTTAAACACCCTTTCAGTCTGTGCTTTGTTACACCTCCTTGAGCAGAAATAACAGCATCCAAACATTTCCTGTTAAGAGTATTTCTATTCTTGCTTTTAGATGCTTTTCTTTTCCTTTCTTACAGTACTGTCCTAGCTCAGAAATATTTCTTGATTTCCTTGTACCCACTGCATGTTTGAGATTTCCCCATAGATTTTTAATAATATTCAGGCCTACCTAGTGTGAAGGCCAATTCAAAACCACTGTCTTTCTTTATGGTAAGTACTTGATGGTTCATTTTGGAGACGTGCATTGGATCATCATCTTCCTGAATGTCCGATCTCTTTTCTTTAATCCTAATGTCTTTTCAGGAAGTGATTCTACATAGCAGAAATTTTCAGTAGTAAACCCACTTCATATGCAGATCAGACTGCATGTAGACATTATACCAGTATGTTTAATGTTATGTTATATTGAACATACGTGTACTTGAACATTCTTATCTATTCTTTTAAGAGGACTTTATAAAGGCAGTGCTAGGAAAAAGTGACAGCATACTATTACAGGTGCAACTCTTTTGTGCTTATAAAACTATTTTTGAACCCTAAAACAGTATTTAAAAAATGTATATTTGGGTTTTCTACACTGAAGAATGGAATTAAATCATTTAACACCAGGATTCAGTAACTGACCTAAACAGGAAATGGGATACTTATGAATTAGAAACAGCTTTTTATTCTAATATGTTGGTTGCCAAAATCAGTAGTATAGCTGAGTTCAGTTGCAAATAATTGATATCTTCAGGGTGAATTATTCTTTGAGATTGTCTTATATGTTCACAAAAACAAACCTTATTTTTCTAAATTGGTACATCTGAATGTTTGGCAACTAAAGCTCAAAGTGGTAGTTTATTTTACTGTGGTTTATATGATTGGTTTAGCTTCCTGAAGCATATCTCATAAGGGCTGAAGTTACATAATATGCTAAGTCAGTTATTATTAAACTTTTCAGGGTCCACACATGATTGTGCAAACTGCCAAAATCTAAAAATAGCATTTAAAATGTTAGAAATATTATCAGCTCATCACATTTATTATATTTTGACAAATTTACTCCTCACAATTACATGCTGAGATGTATTTAGCTTTTCATATGCTTTTCCATAACTATGTTCTCATAGTTGCTGCAATTTTACATTGTTGTAGTGCTCATAAACTCAGACAGACAGACAGACAGACATTCTGTTCATTAGTACAATTTTAAAATAACTCCATATACAGTGATGCTTAAAAGTTTGTGAATCCTTTTGATTTTTCAATATTTATGTATAATATGACCTAAAACGTGATCTGTTCTCCACACAAATCCTAAAACTAAATAAAGAGAACCCAATTAAACAAATGAATCAAAAACATTATTCTTGTTCATTTATTTATTGAGGGAAATGATCCAAAAAGCACAAGTCAACCCAAAATATACAAGTTGACAAAAAAAAAAAAAAAAAAGTCATATGACCAAAGAATGGTTAAAACAGAAGAAAGTTACTGTTTTGGAATGGCCAAGTCAAGTCCTGATCTTAGTCCTATGGAATTATTGTGGAAGGACCTGAAGTGGGCAGTTCATTTGAGGAAGCCCAGCAACATCCCTGAGTTGAAGCTCTTCTGTAAGGAGGAATCAGCTAGAATTCCTCCAAGCCGATGTGCAGGACTGATCAACAATTATCGGAAATGGTTAGTTGCAGTTATTACTGCCCAAGGGGGCATCCCTGTTACCAAAAGCAAAGGTTCACATAATTTTGCAGTGTATAACTATGTAGCTTTGGATCATTTTCCTCAATAAATAAATAAACAAGTATAATATTTTGGACTTACTTGTTTAATTGAGTTCTCTTTATCTAGTTTTAGGACTTGTGTGGAGAACATATCACATTTTAGGATATATTTATGCAGAAATATTGAAAATTCAAAAAGGTTCACAAACTTTTAAGCACCAGTGTACATGTATTTCTATCATATAAAAAACTGGGTAATATATTTTTCAGTTAAAAATCATACACATTTATTTATATTAGTACTAACAATATATTTTCTGGAAGTTTTCATCTAAAAGGCTTCATCTGGTTAAATCTTGCCTTAGTTATTAATATTTTCTTTCTGTAGCTAGAAATGAGGTTGTGCTGCTCAAAGTGTCCTGTGCATCTGTCCAGTGTGGAAGAAAAAAAAAAAGATAGCCCCTCTGCAATGGCCAGTGGGAATTAAATGGAAAATAATACATAACAGCATTTAACAGAGGGTTTCATAGGAATGGAATAAGCAGCCATCCTGAATTTGATATAATATGTTGAAAATCAGCTTTCAGATGAAAAAAAAAACAGATTAAACAAGAAAGAAGATACAATTTTCCAAGACATACTCCAAAATAAAAGATTAACTGAACAAGGATATATATGTATATCTTAGAAACTAATATGCCTGGTGTGATAACACAGTAGTAGTGGTAATGATGTAGTTTCCATAGCAACTGGTTCACTAGAGGGCTAGACCTCTGTCTAGGGTGCTGTCAGTATGTGTGGAGTTTCCAAGGAAGAAAGTCCCAAAGAAGGTCTGCTTTCACCTAATCCAGTTTTAATTGAACTCCAGAGACTTTGAAGTGAATCTACAGACCAGGCAGATACCATTCCAACAAGGAATGAAGGCCTGTTTTAGCTGCCTCCAGACTGGTAACTTTTTCTAGTTAATGCTTCGGAAATTGCTTGGAGAAGCTTGTTTGAGTTTTTGAAGTTATATTTAATGTTCTATCAAAAGAAAAAAATGTGCTTATTATAACCATGTTTTATAATTTAATATCAGCTAAGAACTGTTGTTAAGTTCTCTATTTTTTATGATTAGCTATTATTGGAATAATTATGAATATTGAGAATAACTAAGGGAATGGAAGTTGTATTTGTATAGGCTTGGATTGCAGAGTTCAATGCTGGTTACAGAATCACAGATGTCATATGTTTCCTCTTCCTTGTAATATTTAATGATACAATATACCAGAAATATCTTTATTCTAATCAGTTGGCAACACTATGCTGCATTATGGAAACCTGTAGTACAGTAGGGATAATGTAACTCTTTTATATTCTTAGAGGTAACTGAGGAAGAGTAGGGGAGGTTACATATCTTCCATAATGTTTAGTTTTGTACTGAATACCAGAATTGAGGCAAATTTGAAAAACAAATTGCAGTATAATATATGGAAGGGGAAATCTCCAGGAACAAATAAACCCTGGATGGGGTGAGCTGGGTTGGAATGGAGTTTTCTCCTTGTAAGATTCAGAAGGTTTAAGTGAAATATTTTTCTCAAGAGTGCATAATGGGAAAGGGTAGACCAAAACCAATATGGGATGCTGGTTAGCTCTGAGCTAGGTCCAGACAATCCCAACTTCATGTTTATATTTACAGGGTGACTGTGGACCAGTCACTGTCTCTGATCCTAAACAACCTTAGAGGTACAGTATTGGAATAATCTGTACATTCAATCAGTCCCAGATTGAAAAAGTGGATACAAACCTAACTATAATAGTCACAGCAATAATAGTACTTACAGAAGAGTAACATTTTCTGCCTGTGCTTTGCCATCTAAGTCGTGCTCCCCCATCCTAGAAGTTGCTTAATTTTTTAAAATGTGTACATAAATTGATTATATATAAATAATAAACAGCTTTATTTGGTTCTTAAACTGAGTGGTTTCAGATTTTATCATGGCGAAACTCTTTGGGTTATGCAAAGAAACCCTCCACCACCCTCAATCGGTGATACTGATTTACTTGAATTGATCATGCTGCTCTTCTTAAATCTGAGTATAAAATAACTAAAGATAAAGCAGGCATTATGCATGCTTACTGTATGCCTTTTCCATAAAGGAATGGAACAATTGCTTATTTTTAAAATGTATCTTATATTTGTTTTTATCAGATACTTGCTTATACAGATGGACTGCATGGGAAATGGATGTTTTCAGAGATTCGATCAGTATTTTCTAGACGCTATCTGTTGCAGAACACAGCACTGGAAATCTTTATGGCTAACAGAGGTAATTCTGAAAATGAGATTTTTAAACAGTTTTAAAATATATTCACTGCCTTACTGTGTAAGATTATATTTTCCAAATAATTACTAGTCAGAAATTTTGAAATTTCCAGGACTCTCACACACAAAGGGACTGTAAACCCATCCCAGAACTAAAAATGGAAAGTCTCCAGATCCAGGAGCCCTGACACCCACAGCCTCTGGGTCAGCCAGGGTTAGAGATGTATAGCTGAGTATCATCAGGATACTAATGATATTTAATGCTATGTTGATGGATAACCTTGCCCAGTGGCTTTGTTGTAGATGCTAAATAGGAGCAGAGTCATGAGGGACCTCTCAAAGTAAAGGTCTAAGACTAGATCTCCTACCTGCTACCAAGAACTGGGCCCGGAGGAAGGACTACTGCAATACTATGACCCCTATTCCAAGCCCCCAAAGTTGTCCAGAAGGATACCATAATCAATGGTATTGAAAACCCCTGAGAGATCAAGAAGGACCAGATGGGTCCTAAACTTAAATGGGTAATCCACATGTTGTAATATTAATCTAGAAAATGTTTCCCAGCAATGAATGGCCAAAGTAAAAAAAGGAACATGATTTGTCTATCCTAAAGGTCCCACAATCAAAATTCTCAGACATCTTTGGCATGGACAAACTCTCAGTTAACACATAGTCACAGGGAATAGCTGTTACTATGACTATTAGCAAGAATGGCAAGACTTCTGGCATCATAATGTGAGAAAGTTCAAAGTAATAAGTGGTAATGTAAAAGGCAAGTTGAAGACATTATGAGAATAAATATAAGAGAAGTGGAGAGAACACTGTTTCCACTGAAAACTCATCAAATACAGATTTCTACCATGTTTTGCATTTCCAAAACAGGAACAGCAACTTACAAAAAGAAGCAAAAAGTTGACCTTAGAGATTGCACATTTTGGCAACTTGCCTTGTCACAGATTTAAATTGTTTGTATGGCTCCTGGGACCTTCTCCATTTTAGCTGTTGACTTCATACTGCTTCTTATAAATGCATATTAAATAAGAATTTGTGTTATTTACCTCCAAAATGGCTTCATTATTTTATCTTGTATATTCAGCTAGAAGTACTTCAGAAAAATAAAAAAAATTAACTTGGGACTTTGCATAACAAAACCTGGATTCTTTAATAATGTTTTATAAGCCTGCTTTCATCATATCTCTATAATAATAATAATTCATAATCATAAAAACTAACTCACTGCTTGGTAGAAGCTTCTGTCCCTTCAATGATGGCAACCAATGTAAACTCATTTTATGGGAAGTTTGTTAAAATTGTGACATTATGTTGGGGAAATGTCTTAAAAATATATGCATTGCATTTTCACTATTCAGTCATATGTTTTATTATGCCAAAAACCACTGTATAAATAACAGTGAATAATGTCTAACTTATTTTTGTACATAGTTGCTGTCATGTTCAACTTTCCGGATCCTGCAACTGTAAAAAAAGTCATCAATTGTTTACCTCGTGTTGGAATTGGTACTAGTTTTGGATTACCCCAAACCAGGTATGTTACTTCTAACTCTTGAAAACAATTTCAGCTGACAGTGTTACAATATAAAGTTGCAATATGGAAAGCAAATAGCCATAATCAGGGGGAAAAGGTATGAGATCTAGGAAAATAAAGTAATTTCTTTTTTCTATTTCTTTTATTTGTTAATACCAGACTATGCCTTATACTTGGGCAAAGAATTCATGTATTATGCTAAGCCATGATGTACTTTATTTGCTTTTGTCTTATCTGCTTGCATGAATCCAGACAGCTATTGTTTATTCAGTAAACTAGTTAAACAAACAATAGTTTTGTGTGATCTGTGACACAGTCTTGAAGTCTACTAGGAAAAAGAAATCATAATTGATGTTTGATAATACAAGTTGTAATGAAATGCAGAACTATTAACAGAATGAACAATAATTTTATATTAGGGGACCTATAATAGAATTATTATGTATATCTGATCACCAAAAAAAGCAGAATCCAAAAGTATACACATTATTTCAATACAATATATGCATATGATCTATATACAGGTGAAACTCAAAAAATTAGAATATCATGCAAATGTTCATTTATGTCAGTATG